GAAACGATGTCTTAAATTTGCTTTTATCTATCAAATGCAACAATTTTAATAGATTGTAAAAACTATTGTAACTTATTATTGCTAACAGTTTTCATGAAACGTTTATCTACATCTGCTGTGTAATATAATCGATCCATACATTTAAATGTAATCGGTCATTGCGCAAGAGAAGTACAGGTGGGAAGAGATATTTTTTGGAATAACATTAATTGATCAAGGAAAAGAGCAAATTGGTAAAGCAATTAATTCTGGTAAAGCATTTGATTTTCATGGTAAGAGAACGTACTTCATCTATAACTGTGGATGGAATTAAACGCAGTTTTCAAAGAAGATGAATTGGAGGAAATGTATTTGGCATTGATGAAAGTAAATTTTCCTGCATCTGAGATAATGGGAAAACTGGGAATTCGTATGGAGGTGGAACGAAGGCAACAACGTATGTCATTTCGATATAGGAAAGAAACCTGTCCCAAAATGCATTTTCTGTCCACACAAGTAGAATTAACGGGGGAAGGGAGGGGAGGGGGAGGGGTTAGGGAAGTGATGGAGATGGGGGTAAGGGCACAATTTTTTTTTCTCCGAGAATTGGAAAATTAGGCCTACCGATTTTTCGTTCAGTGGGTGGGTTTTTTTTTTTTTTTTTAATAAAAAAAACAATTAAAAAAAAAACGATTATGGCAAAAAGTGAGGGGGTATCCTCCTATACCCACACATTTTTAAAAAATGAGGGGGGTACCCCCCCCCCCCCCCCCCCCCGTCTGCGTACGCGCCTGGCGTCGGTTGAAGAAGATGGTTAGCTAATAGTAGTGGCTCGACGTTTCGAACAGGTTGACTATCCGTCGTCAGGAGTGAATTATGTTGTGTTCAAGTTCGTTTATCAAATGATAGAAAGTTTGTCACATAATTATGTTTCAGTTTGTAAACAAAACTAGGACTTTGGAAAGTGCTTTCCTTCTATGTTATATACGAAAACGACTTGGAGTTTTGGATAAATAAGTGAATGAAAAAATATATACAACAGTAAAATCGGAAATTGTCTGGTTTCTTCATTTGTCAATCTTAATTGGTATAATTTATAGGAAGATAACTTTTGATTTTTTTTTCCCGGCTTTTCATAGAAGTCGATTGAGAGAAGAACAAAATCTTGATTATGTCACTCGATAAATACAGGAAAACTACATGGTCTGTGAGTGAAGAATACCGTGTGTGTCAACGGTCGACGGCGTCATGCCTTTGTTATCAATTCGATGATCGTTCATTGTTTGGATAACTGTTTTGGTTGAGTGAGGATGAAGAATAACGGGTTATTAGGCAATATATTACCAAATAACTCGCTATTTTTGAAGATATACTGAAGTAGTTTTTCGGGCAAAAAAATCGTAGTAGGCCCTACACGATTTAAAACCAGAAATTTATTGATCTTGATTATTATAGCAATCTTAAATAGGCAAATAATAAGCCAATAAGATACGATTTTCATGGTTTTACAAGTCGAATTTAATTTTTCTTCGCATCAGAATAATAAATTGTGCGCTGAGTGTTACTGACGAATCTTATTTTATAGATGGCTTCTAAATCGGGGATAAGGCAATTTTCATTTTCTCTTACTTAACCTATTATATTCTACTTTATTTTGTCTTTATTTTATCAGAATAAAAATAATCATCGTAGAAACTGACGATGAATGATGTGGAGGATTGTATTTTAAACTCTTCAATGATTGGATAGCCGGGTTGGATATAGGAAGTGATAGTCCGAAGTTTATATTTCTTCATTTGAAAAAAAGTTGATCTAGTTGTACGATCACTTGGTCAGCTCTCTGTCTTCGTCTACAAACGGTTAATTGCCGGTTGGTCTGCAACCAGCTCATGAACTACCCAAGAAGTCCATTCCCATATGGTCTACACACAGCCGGTCTACTATCCACGTGATCTAATAACCATTTCGTCTACTACTACTGGATAACTGTTTTGGTTGAGTATGCACAACCTTCGTAAGGATGAAGAATAGCGGGTTATTAGGCAATATATTACCAAATAACTTGCTATTTTTGAAGATATACTGAAGTAGTTTTTCGGGCAAAAAAGTCGTAGTAAGCCCTACACGATTTAAAACCAGAAATTGATTGATCTTGATTATTATAGCAATCTTAAATAGGCAAATAATAAGCCAATAAGATACGATTTTCATGGTTTTACAAGTCGAATTTAATTTTTCTTCGCATCAGAATAATAAATTGTGCGCTGAGTGTTACTGACGAATCTTATTTTATAGATGGCTTCTAAATCGGGGATAAGGCAATTTTCATTTTCTCTTACTTAACCTATTATATTCTACTTTATTTTGTCTTTATTTTATCAGAATAAAAATAATCATCGTAGAAACTGACGATGAATGATGTGGAGGATTGTATTTTAAACTCTTCAATGATTGGATAGCCGGGTTGGATATAGGAAGTGATAGTCCGAAGTTTATATTTCTTCATTTGAAAACAAGTTGATCTAGTTGTACGATCACTTGGTCAGCTCTCTGTCTTCGTCTACAAACGGTTAATTGCCGGTTGGTCTGCAACCAGCTCATGAACTATAGACCATGGGCCAAGCCCTGTTTTCTTGCTTAGTTTTTGAATTCCGTGGTCTCCGACTGGGAAGTACCTACAAATGTGCCAAATATCTTGGAAATGTGTAATTGAAACAAATATGACATGTTCCCAAGTTTGAAACTTGTGCACTAATTAATAACGGCCAAAAACAAAGAAAAAGTTAAGAATTGGTTGCTATGGACTTTTCCTCCCTAGCAACCATACAAGGGGAGATATTTGTTGGAATATTTTGCACCTAACATGCTAATTGTGCATACAAATGGTGTTTGGAGAAGTGTGATGTTATGAATTGAAGTTCAATCATGTAAAAATTTAATTTGCATATTTATTAATACCTTGATTAATACATGTATTATCCTTATTATTCAAAAACATGTTGTTAAAAAGTCTCATAAAACCTGATATCAGTATGAACATAGAATCAGATGTATTCATGTATTTATCAATTTTTCCAAAGGGATGGCATTATTAGTCACATGCCCCATACCCCCTCCCCCAACCTATACCCTCCACCCCCCCCCCCCCCCCAGCTCCATGAAGCGAAAACGACGTAAACATACAGTAGTTTCCAATCATAATGATCAGCAAAAGATGTTTTCTCACCAAATTTCAAACCATGCTCATTTTTATATTCACACACAGCCACCCCACCACATAGATCTTCATGTATATATAAAGGCAACCCCCCCCCCCCTCAACACACACACATACACACAGTAATACCCAATGATATAATGAAAGAAATTAATTTAAAATACATTATGTGTGACTTGTAAATTCAAATGTCCCTCATGTTTGCTGATATCCACTTTATCCTAGATACACAAACTCATGCATATGAACACACATTTATGCCCCCATCATATACCCCCCCCCCCCCTCCAAATACACAAGCATAATCGCATCAGTTATTATCTTGTTTTCTTGGATATTATCTTCCATTTTTTTCTCGCTGTGTGACCTCATATGAAAAGCTATGACAAATTGATTTTATAGTATAGTTTTTAATGTTCTATTTACTATAACAAATAAAACAAAGGTTCACAGTACCATGTTTTATGTATTTCATATTGGCATTATATATGTACATGTATGTACCATAAGATTTCGTTAAAAATGTTTAGAAATCACATTCCTACAATATTAGGCTCTCTTAGCTCTGTCATATTAAAATGGTACGTCTCTGGATCTATAATTCCGTTCAATTAATTCAGCCAAAGTAAGCAGGTACATGTATTGTAACTTCTTAGCTCTTACAAATTATACTCTTCTATACTCACTTTAATTCTAAAGTGTAAAACTCAAAAGTGCACTCAAAATTACTTACAAACTGAGTGAGACAAGGGTTGCACATCATAACATATTCATATGTACAACAGTCAATAACGATATAGATCACAGATTTTGCACCTACACACATGTATATGGTAATTTAAAGCACCAACAAGTTTTTAACCCTCATTTTCACCTTAATAAGTGAACGTGTAAAAAACACCATGACAAGGGCTGACCAAATGAAGATTTAGATATCGAACTGTAAATGTTACTCTAAATACAGTGTACATTCAATATTATAGAAGTTTAGAAAAAAAAAGATATTATTACAATTATCTGTAAAAAAAAAAGACCATGACAAGGGCTGTCCAAATGAAGATTTAGATATCGAACTGTAAATGCTATTCTAAATACAGTGTACATTCAATATTATAGAAGTTCAGAAAAAAAATGATATTATAACAATTATCTGTAAAAAAAAAAGACCATGACAAGGGCTGTCCAAATGAAGATTTAGATATCAAACTGTAAATGCTATTCTAAATACAGTGTACATTCAATATTATAGAAGTTCAGAAAAAAATCATATTATTACAATATCTGTACCTAATCCTTTTAGCTTTACTTGAAGTAGGCTTACTTTTGTTGTAATACATCCTTAGAGAAAATATATTGCAGAATCATTGTAGAGCATTTTATTGCCTCCACTTCAAATAGTAAAGGTAAACAAAAAGAATTGTCTTTACTGATGGACATTACAGTGTGCTTGTATGCAAATGTTGTTGTTTTTTAAATCAATAAAATATATATAATTAAAAAATATTCAAACCCATGAATAGCAATGAGTGATCTTAACACCTGTAAGGAAGCAATGGGTAATAATATTGATTGAAGGTTGTATTGTAGAGGAAACCTACAAAGCAGGGCTTGTAATTTAGGGTTCCTGATACAAAATTGAATGAAGTATCTCAAATGTAAAAAAATAAAAACAAAAACAAAATATATGTTGGAATGACAGTACGGTGTATGAACAAGAAAAGACATTACAGTTAATTATTTACAATGTACCTTTTTACAACATATTTTCATTTACAATTATTTCCACATTATCGTAGGACAAATATTATGGATGACTGAAAGAAGTAGTACAAGCATCTATCAACAGTAAGTTACTGTGCAGTAGCTCTGGTGATGGCCTCTGCAAGATTATGCCATTGGTGTTATGGGTTGTCCCTTTACCGGAGAGGGTCTCCTCCCCAAAGTCATTATTATCCCACACTAGTGTGGTATGTACAGATGGCAAAATGTTGGGAGGAATGAAGTTCTCGCCTCGTTGAATTTGGAGTTGAGCAAGGGCAGTGTCATGCTCGAGGACTTGTGAGTTCGAGGAGCAGTGCCCTAATCCATTCAACAGCCCAATGAGCTGCGCCGAGCCAGTAAGGTGTCTCACCGACATAGCCAGAGCAGAGTGCTTTGGCATAATCGTCCTACCGCTGGAAGCAAGATTCATTACGTCCTGGCATATTGAGACAATCTTACTTTTCTTTGCATCCTTCACCTGCACTCTTGAATTATCTGGAGGGAGTTCATTAGTTGCACCTACAGTCCATGCCATAAAGTTATACAGCGCATCTGGTACTAATCCCAAAGCCATGTCTGCAGTTAAGTCTCTCGCAGTTGGTGGCCATGGAGGCTGAGGAATGGAATTAGAACCTCTTTCTATTGCTCTTCTGAGTGATTGTGCTGCATGATATAGTGGTCTCAAGTCACATGATGTTCTCACTTGAGGAGCTCCTTCAGTTTGATGAATGTCAGAGTCGGTATCCCCATCAGTCTCATCTGTACTGCTTATGTCGGATGAAAATGGATGAACAACGTCCTCTGCAACTTCATCCATAGATAAATCTTCAACAAAAACTAAATCACTAGCATTACTGTGAGAAGACCTAAGAAATTTGAGAAATGGAAAGGTCTTTTGAAGCCTTCGCTTTAAATTAAATGACTTGTAACTTGGGATTTCTTTTCCCTCTACCTCCTTCACACACTTCTTGAACAATCCAAGCAATTTCTGTAACCTTAACACTTCTCGACCCTTCACCACTCTTACATCAACAACTGATCTACAAAAATGATCATATGACTTCTTATACAAAATGTTCTCAGAGTTTTCTTCTTTGTCCTTCTTTGTGAGAAACCTTGTATAGTTCTGGTAACAGCTCAAGTGGTATCTCACTTCCAATGCGACAGGGTCCTTCCCACGAATCTGCATCAAAATCTTCTCATCGGTGCGCATTTCTGCAGCAAGTACAAGCTTACCTGCTGAAATTGTTTCACATTGAGTTAATTTCTCCTTCCTTCTTTTCCTTGTAAAATGATCACAAGTTGTTTTGTCTTTCCTACATATTATGCACTGCACTGGAAGAATATGCCGAACCCTTGGCTGAACACTATGCTGATCCGACTGCCTCGGTCGAAGTTGTCGGATCTTCGAAGGTGGCTTTATCCCTGAATCTTCTGCCTCCAGTGGAACATCGTTGGTTCTTGTGGCTGAAGCAAGTTTTTAAAGACAAAAAGAGAAACAGGAAAACAAAATTATTATTGGTCCAAGCTTTACATGTAATAATGAAATATCCCATATATACAATTTGAACATTTGAAAATGTTCAGTCCCCTTCCTAAAAAAGGAATACATAAATTTCATTGTGGACAAAATAATTTTTCAACATCTTAGTTAACAAGATTGAAAGCTGAATAACTGTTTCATATTGATGGCTTGTTAATGTGGTCAATGAATACCCAAGCTATTTTCTGAGTGGCATTACTATTAGCTGAATCAACGTGCTCATTATTTGTAATTTCTTCCCGATGATGTTTGATCGAACTTGAATATGTCATTAGACATTACACATTTACCATACGAGGTCAACTATAAACAGTGTCGACCTTACGACCATTATCACCTTGTCGTACATGTATGAAAAATGAGATTCAGCACTCGCAGTATTATAGAAGGCCTAGTGCATACAATGAATAAGTTGCCAGGAGTGACAACAGTCAAGATTTCATTTGTTTAAGTATTTTTCTTTTCCAACATCGATGATGAAATTTATTGTACAATAAATACTTTACTGTCAATTAATTCAGCTCAGTCAGATGTCACCCATGACCAAGTGTAACTTAAGTAAAGCTTTAGAGTGAATTTAAGTATTGTACAATGACGTTGGAAATTTTTTAGAATTAATATAGATCTAGAGGTGCTCGTGTTTTGTTCAAATAATTGAAGTAGACTAGTTCTCATGGTTCTAGACTAGTATTATTAAGTCTAAGAAGTAAGAGTAAGACCCTAACTTTGCTTTTTTGCGTGTGTGTGAAACTGAATTTATTATGGTGATAGCCTACCTACATATATATAGTGCCTGTAGCTGTATATCTTATTAAGGGAATAACTAGTTTGTGGGTAAAATCAAGTGATTTCAGAGATAAGCGTTAAGCCCACGCAAGAGAACCCAGATCTTACACGAATACCAATGCATGGGACTGTAATGTGAAAAAACTGGGCAAACAATCCATGACTGAAACCTGATGAAACCTTCACTGTTTAATCATAACAATGCTTTTGAAATATTTAAAAAATGACAGTAATAAATTACCTTCATGTCCTGATCTTTCTTGCTTCTTCCTGACCCTCTCGATCTTAGTTTTGTCGGTAAATCGCATGTAACATGCGCGATGGTAACCCAAAGTTTGAGGAGGCACATTGAGAATATCTGGAGACAAAACAAGCTCCAAATCATACTTTTCAATGGCATGGGTAGCAATAACACCTTCTTTAATGTCAAATTCCTTCCACTGGTGAACACTGATAACAAATTTCCTCCAGCTTGTCTCAGAAAAAGAGATAATATTTGTCGAATCGCCATCAACAATGTGCATGCAACACTCCATGGTCATGGTGCACTAGCAGACTAGACATACAGACAGTGCATGCGAACCAAGACTCAGAATACATGGACTGTGATTGGTCAATTGCACTATGAGCTCTAATACCCCAGCTGTGATTGGCCAATTAAGGAACAGCTATGACATCATCATTGCAGAATGGCTGTCTGCTACATACAGTGATATTTGCAACTTTATATCAAAATTGTGAAAAAATGTACCAGCCAAAAGTTGGGAACATTTGACCATTGTTCTTAGATACATGTCCATTGATCATTTAGGACAAAATAAAGTACTTCCCAGGGGGAGACCACGGAACTGAAGAATTTTGAGGCTTGGCCCATGGTCTACTACCCAAGAAGTCCATTCCCATATGGTCTACACACAGCCGGTCTACTATCCACGTGATCTAATAACCATTTCGTCTACTACTACTGGATAACTGTTTTGGTTGAGTATGCACAACCTTCGTAAGGATGAAGAATAGCGGGTTATTAGGCAATATATTACCAAATAACTTGCTATTTTTGAAGATATACTGAAGTAGTTTTTCGGGCAAAAAAGTCGTAGTAAGCCCTACACGATTTAAAACCAGAAATTTATTGATCTTGATTATTATAGCAATCCTAAATAGGCAAATAATAAGCCAATAAGATACGATTTTCATGGTTTTACAAGTCGAATTTAATTTTTCTTCGCATCAGAATAATAAATTGTGCGCTGAGTGTTACAGACGAATCTTATTTTATAAATGGCTTCTAAATCGGGGATAAGGCAATCTTAATTTTCTCTAACTTAACCTACATTATATTCTACTTTATTTTGTCAATATCTTATCAGAATAAAAAGAATGAAAATCATCGTAGAAACTGACGATGAATGATGTGGAGGTTTGTATTTTAAACTCTTCAATGATTGGATAGCCGGGTTGGATATAGGAAGTGATAGTCCGAAGTTTATATTTCTTCATTTGAGAACAAGTTGATCTAGTTGTACGATCACTTGGTCAGCTCTCTGTCTTCGTCTACAAACGGTTAATTGCCGGTTGGTCTGCAACCAGCTCATGAACTACCCAAGAAGTCCATTCCCATATGGTCTACACACAGCCGGTCTACTATCCACATGATCTAATAACCATTTCGTCTACTTATCATTTGGTCTAATGACCATTTAGGCTAATAGCTATCCAAGCGCGTAGCCAGGATTTTATTTTAGGGGGGGCGGTCCTGAGCACGCGAAGCGTGCGAATCACTTACAGAGCGCGCGAAGCGCGCTCCCTAGGGGGGAGGGTGCAGGGAGGGGGGAGTTTCCCCCCTCCCGCGCGAAGCGCGAAAGCTTTGACGTTTCATTAAAGTATTAGAGAAAGAAGACGATTCGTTGTACCGTTCTCGGTTCTTAATCCTTGTCTGAATTCAGTCCACCCCACTCGTGCGGAAGCTTTGACGTTTCATTACATTATTAGAGAAAGAAGACCGTCTATTTGATTTATTGTTATACAAGATTTCGATTTTTCTTTTAAAGAATATCTTCAGAAATGAGCATCATGCATGTGATAAATATATTGACGTATACATCAACTAATCACCAAACAACAGCATTTCATCATAAGATTTTCATAATTGCTTTCGTCATTATTTGCCACATAATTATGACATAATGTAGTTCATGTTTATTTCTAGTATGACGTATGAGCAGAGAGCGGGGTTGTATCTACATAAGTTAGCAATTCCTACTTTCCTACACTTTCCTCAGCCTCAGCTGCTCAAAGTAGAATCCGCCTGGATCTCTGTGACGAACGGAACTTATCTAGAACTTCATCGCTTGAAGGTGTTTCCTTTCTGTAAGTCTGAATAAGGAGTAAAGCTTCCAACCTTTCCTCCCCCATTGATGCTCGTATTGCTGTTGCTGTTCTCTCTAACTTTGAAAAAGTTCGTTCAGCCTGGGCTGTTGTGACTGGCAGGGTTGCTAAAACCTGAAGGAGCAAGTGGATGTTGGGTAGGGTTATCTTTGAACACTCTTCTAGTGCAAGGAGCGCTGTGTTCACTGATTTCTTCTCTCCTGCTTCTGTATTGTCCCATCTCTTTAGCCATATAGCGAACTCACCTTCAAGACAGCTGATGTCGATCAAGCTATCATACGTCTCAGCTGCAGGAAGCACATCTTCGTAGGTGCTTATGTAGGCTGGAACTAGATGCATCAAATGCATTATCTTTCTTTGTGTGGGACTGAAGCGGTCTTGTAGATGTGTCACAATATTGTCGATTAGAGGGAGGAAGACATTCAGTTTGTAGTACTCGTGTGTCGAATTGTGAACTTGAACTCCAGAAGTGGCATTGGGACGATACACACTACGGGATGCAGTTCTAGGGCGCTCCACTGTCACATCCAAATCACTCGCCATCTTCTCAGCATTGTCAAACAGATGGTCAAATGTGTCATCATTCCTCCATGACCCTAGTACATCTGTAGCATGTTTCACCAGTGTCACAGCTTCTACCAGATCTAGGCCGACAGCCTGCATACCTCTTGACGCTGGGAGGAGGATTCCGCTCACCTTCGCCAGGATGTGGAGAGACACCAAGAAGTCAAATGAAGCGATGGCTCTGAGAAGACTTGCAGCTTTGCTTCTCGCTTCTGGCATTTGCCATCCCGTCATATTCTCCACCACCCGAATGACATATGGCAGTAGAGAGAGGGTGTTTATAACAGCCTCGTGTCTCTCTAGGAATCTCGTCTGGCACAGGGTTTTCAGCCTTCGTTGCTTACTCTCCTCTATGCCTGCATTTGCAATTTCTGCTTCTAGATGGATAACCCTTTTGGCACTGCTGTTGAAGAAGGATGTCATTTGCTGGATAATATCTAAACAGTTTCTGATGGAAACTACTTGAGTTGATTTGGTGGCGCAAAGGTTCAGCATGTGCATGGCACAATGGAAATATTGGGCAAGAGGGGCTTCATCCTTCACTACTGCAGCTACACCAACTTGCTGGCTACTCATGCTACTTGCTCCATCATATCCTTGGCCGACAAGTTTCTTCAAGTCCAGTTTGAGTTCCTTCAATTTCGCTAAGATGACTGTGCCGATATTGCGCCCGCTCATCGCCAGTTCACTGTGGCCATCGGTTGGGTCTATCCCAACCTTCTCTACCATCTCTCGCAGGACATCTATTAGGCAGATGGGGGCCTCTACAATGGTTGGCTTTTGTTTCTCACCATTCCCTACTTCAATGAATTCTACGTATCTTAAAGCTATTGTCAATTGCTCTCTTTTCTTTCTGTCCGTTGTCTCATCTGCGATGACGCTCCACACTCCTGCCTGCTTGGCTTTATAGAGAATCTTCTCCTTGACTAATGCCGATGTACAGTCAAGTATTTCGTTCTGGATCTCGGGGCTGATGTACTGGGCATTTCCAAGACCGTGTGTGACATGGTGCTTCAGCTTCGTATCGCCAGCACGAATCCTCATCCTTAGTAGCGATCTCAAATTGCCATCATTCTCCTCCGGCTCATCTAGACCAAGTTTGCCACTATCCCGATGGCCCCTCAGAGCTATGTTTTGACGTGCGCATGCTATGACTGTATCAGTTATTATTTTTAATACAGATCTATTTTCCTGTCTCTTCTCTTCTCTATTTTTGTCGATCAGACTTCCTATGTCATTTTTGGAATCTACCTGGGCTCGGGCAAGGAATTCCGTTACCATGCTGGCGACAGACTTGTGGTAGTTGGTGTCTGCATGGTTTGTGAGAGCGCCGTCCTTCCCTGTAAGTTTTGCAAATGATTTCAGGGGCTTCTTCACTAACGCACCCACAGTTTGTGTCCCCATATCCCAGTGGCCCCCACAGGTGCTGGAAGACTTGAATAATGCACACCAGATACACCAAGCACCCTCATAGCCATCCATCTCACTCGACGTGAGCCATGGAAAGGTATCATAGTAATGCCTCCCAAGGTACCTTTTCTCCATTTTACCACCCTTTTTGTGCATCGAGTATGGTAGATGATCCTTGTGGGGAACACGGCAACCTTTTAGGGCACTCATTAGATCAGTGTGGTTCAATTTATCCTTCCCTCTAGCCAATAACTCTCCGATGTCTATGTCGTCAATTTTACTTTGACTTTGAGCAACATGGCATTTTGATGATTTACACCCTCGGTCTTCAGGAAGTGTTTGGGACTGTACTTCATGAGTTGAAGAAGTGGAGGCTATGTCAGACTGGGGTTCGGGTGCCACATCCATGTGTTCAGGTTGTTCTGCAAAAGCAGATATGAAAAGAAATAATTTTTAAAATGCTAATATTTTGATGTGATAAAAAGAATGATAGTTACATTTACCATACTTAATTACATCTCAACAGCGGCCCTCAATAATAAAATATAATATTTATGATTTCACATGTATATTATTATCCCAATCTGCTAGGCTACCTATTTTGGTGCTCATAGTATTAATTGAGGGGATTTGATCACTTGACTAAGTGAACTCTTTGTGATTTTATCTAATCCAGTTATCGCGGCAATGTATCATCTTTCTTTTGCCGTAATCTATACCGATCATTAGTGTTCAAAAATTTAGAGTAAGGGGAAGCCAAACTTGATTTACTATCAAAATAATCAAATCAAATACAAATTCGCTCTCGTTAGGTACAGTTTGAAGCCAAGGACAAGTAAAAGGTGAGGGGACCTACCACTCTTTTTCTTTTTTGAAGTAAAGAACTTGTCGAGTGTTTGACTGCGTGGTGCAGGTGCATTCCTCTTTCGCTCCATCGTATGTGTGAATGCCCTATTTGGAGAAAATAGTGAACGGTTATAGGATAAATCTACTGTTCGATTAAAACATGTACATTTGTATTATTATCTGTGTCATCTTATTTAACGATAATTTTTAGGGAAAGACAACCATATTAATATATGACACGAGCATAATCAGACAAATGTTAATTGAATCTCGATAAGAAATGTTACTGTATCAAGTCTAAACAAAATGATCTATATCATTTTAATTTTAGAGCAAATGGAATAATAGGAGCTCGCATATCAAATTACATATTTACGGAGTTGAGAATTTAGATTTTAGTCTACCGGTAATTGACCGGGAGACGCTCATGCTATAGATAATAAATTTGTCGAAGTAAATTTGAATTAGGAGGTCAAATATTTAAAAAAATGCCAATGTGTGGCAGTTTCCCCAGGAGTATACTGACTCATAAATTAGTTCAAAATATTATCCGAATTACTATTAAAGCTATTCCTAATGTAGTATATTCACTGTGTTCTCGTATTCTTGGCCGTGGATTTTGTATTTCTACTGTTGTCACCACATCGACCAAGCGATAGACAGCGTTGATAGTCTAGTTATTATTTGCTCAGAAACAGACTGGACACTATACTACTAGGACTGTTGGACTTCAGCCACGATCTTCGTATAGATATCTGTACCAAGTTCTTTACATTCATACTTTACCTTTCAATGATGAAACGTCAGATTTGAGCCAAAGCAATATTCTGATGTGACGACGGGATGACAGCTTTCGTGGTTGCGTTATGATATAGACTAGATGCTATAGCAAGATGCCTTGGAAAATGCCTTGGATGGTGAGAATATATAGCATTCTCAGGATTCAGATGGGTCCGTCGGGTTCGTGAAATTATCCAATCATCATCCGAATCGTCTTTGCTAGATCATAGTGACCAATAGAATGTTGGAAGACCGAATGCCGCCGAGCAACATCCATTATGCAAAACGACTTGAAAACCGGTCTCCCTCCGCTCATGAATATGCTATGACTGTTTTTAAAGTAATGTTCCCTGCTAAATTTCATTTGTAACGTAAAAATCCCCTTTTTCAGTGGAGATAAGTTTTTATTCATTCATTACCCTGGATTATGCCAATACTTATGCTGATATAGGGACTTAATATAGTATAGTTACAGATGTATTAGAGTGACATTAGACTTGTTGCAATGTTACTATAATAACATGATACATACTGAATCATCGCATGCGCATCCGAGTAATCAGTATTACCACCCACTCTCCTCTTGAAGCCACGTTTCTTTCTTTAATGCATATTGCATAAGTACCTTGCAGTCTGGCCTTGCTTGCCATAGCGTCTTGCCGTAGCTGGCGGAGCTAGGAGGATGGGTCCATAATGATTTACATATAGCGCCAATTTCTTAATGTGAGCCATTGGCCACACAGGTTGTGGCCACATCGTAAATTTGCTAACACAAGTCTCAAGTGACCACGAGAGTCGTCTTTCCCCAGAGAACATTATTCATGATGCAACGCTACGTCATTGCTATTCAGCATTATGATTGGCCAGAAGTTATATCGCTGGGACGAGTCTTGCCCTGCGTATTAGACACACACTAAGAATACACAAGTAGCACGTAGAGAACCGACCCGCTGTACACAAAATATACGTAGAGCTCGGTAGTCCTATTATTTTGTAGGTAGTAAATACGCTTGATATGTTATGTCGAGCTGGACGAAAGGCGATGGGCTGATATCATCATATCAGCTTGTAGGCCTATATCATGCTGTAGAATTCAAAGCTTATGCATATCTGTTGTTTCTTTTATAATCTTTTAACACAGTCTTTCCATAATTTGTCTTTGTCATGTTTCTTTGTCTGCTCCTTTTTCTTTCTACGTCCTCTTACTTTTTTCTCTTCTCTCTCTTTTTTTTTTTTTGGCCGGCGTTTTGGGGGGGGCGACCGCCCCCACCGCCCCCCCCTGGCTACGCGCCTGTAGCTATCTGGTCTATCTCCTATAAGTCTACTAAACATTTGTTCTATTGCTCATTTAGTATTTCTAGTCTGTCTAATACCCAGTTTGTCTAATGCCCATTTTGTCTATCCATAAGATATAATAATCATTTGATGATTGTTATTATTTATGATTGAATGATTATTAGACCATGAGACGGGCTGGGTGTAGACCATATGGAGAAAAAAAAATTGGGTTGTACATGAAGTTTTCTGCCTAACAGCATGGAGTTACTAAACAACAATAACAAAAAACACTATAAGGACATGAGACGGGCTGGGTGTAGACCAATGGGGTTGTAGATGGGGTTGTAGTTGACTGTTATGGATTTGGATTGCCATGGATTTTTGATAAAGACATTTCACATGACAACATGATAAAAAGTAAGTATATCATTTCATTTTGAATATCTTAGAGGAAATGTTGTCATTCAATGAAAGAACACAGAAAATCGTTCACACGGGTTAACAAGGGTATTTCAGATGTACTACTGTTCGATGCCTTTATTTCGAGGGGGCACTAGTATTCGGTGACAGACAGACACAAATTGAGGGAGGGGAGGGGGGACAGGTGCATCGTTCTTCCTTGGTGGATTGAGAACAAGCTATAAGTAATTATTGAGAATGGAAGGGTGTGGGATTTTTTCAGATTATGACAGTGGTGAAGGAATTCAATTTAGGTATCATTTTTTTTTAATATATTCTTTTCACGTTGCGTTTCCCTCTTAATTCCCTTCTTTCTTCCCTCTTTTTGCCATTCGGGGCCGGGCATACATGAGCTATACTTTAGCCATACTCTGTGCTATTGATGATTATCATCTCAGTATAAATGCCTACATGCTTATAAAATGATTGGAGATATTGTCAACTCAGAGTCAGTTATACCCACACTCAAATTTGATCCATTTCGCCATTGCAAGAATAATGCATTCCAAGTAAATTACTGGATAAATTAGGTGTTGTAACCACTAGCTCATTGGCCGTTATTATCAATTACAAAGATATGACATGCTTGCTGGTAATAATAGTTATAGACAATCATGTTAACAAGATTTAACAGGAATACTGCCAGCCTGCAGAGACAGAGGTTAAAAGGGGAGGGAGAGAGAAAAGTCTGTTGAAAGGAAGAGAAATATGGTAACAATCAAATTTGAATACATGTAAAGAATTCTCTCTGAGGATTGAACCAATTTACCATATTAAATAATATTCATGACATTATGATTAAAGACGATAACAGAGGCCTAAAATCAAATATCGTGCAGTCTAATCAAAATATTTTCATAGTATCGCTGCCGAAAATACCTTAAAACAAAATTATGTACAAAGGTTTATTAAACTGCTTACAAAGAATAATGTTAGTTGAAATTTTAAAAAACTCCACAGTATAACAAGAAGAATATATTCTATTCTCTGTCATGTGATTAAATGTACACAATTTGTTGATGTCATGGGACAGGTTCGAATCCTGTGAGATTCCGGTCAAATCGATCACTAAGAATCTTCATTGGTGTCCATACATCATCATTATTGTATTTTATCAAATCATTATAAATCTTTTAGGCTCTAAATCTCTTGTGTCAATTGTAGCATGGTGACATCTGTGTCACAAACCTTCCATGCATGCTTTTCCCTTACAGCTTGAATGGAACCCTTTTAAACAAACGCCATTCAAGCCATTCTGATGTATTTAACTATTGGCTGAACAAAAAACTTACTCTTGAAATATACAGTGCGTCCTAGAAAACAACAAAACCCCGAAAATAAATGATTTGTACTATGAGCGAACCATGCGCTTTGCATTAGATTCACACTCGCTTCAGTGCGTCCTATAGAAAAGAACAAACCCCGAAAATAAATGATTTATACTATGAGCGAACCATGCGCTTTGCATCAGATATAATATTATATACTCCATTCACACTCGCTTCATGTCAAAATCCATTTGTTCCAGATTCGGGTAAAACAGTGAAAAAGTTAAGATCACATAGCCCCCCCCCCCCTTCGTTCCCTGTATTGTATTGTATTGTATTTATTTTCCGTCATTTAAAAAAACATGAAACAAAATAATCGTAAAGACAAACTTATAAAAGGAAGATGGAGAGATGGCCCTACTCAGCGTTGTTAGCACCTTCTCGTTCTCTCTCTCCCTCTCTCTCTCTCCCTCTCCATCTCCCCCCTCTCTCTTTCTCTCTCTCTTTCTCTCTCTCTCTCTCTCTCTCTCTCTCCATCTCTCTCTTCCCTATTTTGTTTAAATTAATTTAATACATTTCAAGTAGTGGAGAGGAGAGGGGAGATCACAATGTCATCGTATTGCTGTACCACTTTAATTAAAAAACAGTATACACAGTCGTAACTATTTTGTGTGCATGAAAATAACACGGAATTTAAATTCTATGACCGACAACTTATTTAAAACGTGTCATCTTTATTACAACGAATTGTGGAAGCAACATGGACAAAGAAATAAATATTTCAAACCCAGGTCCATGAACCAGTGTAATATGAAATACGAGTGCGCCTTTGGCAGGGTATACAAAACAATATAACATAAACAATAGAATATTGGAATATGAACATTTCGAATAAAGATTTTTCTATAATCATACTGCGTAGTAAGGTATATGATAAAGATCCTTAGGCAGATAAATCATTTAAGACATGTTTTTAAATCGGGCGATTCATCATGAACATTAGGTTTTAAAATATATCTCATGGCCTATGCAGTGGCGTACCTGGGATACTCCGTCAGGGGGGGCAAGCGACCGAAACAAACAAAAAAGGCGATGCTAATTTTCACTTCTGGCGAGCGAGCGAGCAAAACAAAATCTTTAAGTAACGTTTGGTATATAAACTGGTATTGTTGCAAGTTGGGGGTGGGAACATTTACTTGTTAGCGACGTTAATTTATTTTTTTTGCAAACGAGTGTAGCGAGCAAGAAAAAAATCACTTCTTTTTTAAGAATTGCCACTTAAACTTGGTTCAATTGTCCCATGC